TTTTTTGGTTTGTTGTTCCTGTGTCGACGGTTGTAATGGTGTTGTGACAGGGGTGCAGTGTGGGGTGCAGTTGCGATCTAGTCCAGTGATTGGTTGAGTTTTGCTTTGGTGGTCAGTTTGTTGCACCGCCGTGATCTGGTTGGCACGGCGGTGGTAGTTGTGGCGAAGTGGTGGTCACAAATGATTCGGGGGTGGTCACAAATGATTAGGTTGTTTGTGAACAAGAATTTGGTTAGGTTGTGACCAGTAAACAATATGTGACCAATGAAGTAGATTAACTGTGACCAATAAATGCTTTGTGACCTTGAAATTATTAATTTGTGACTAATAATTTGATAAATTGTGATCAATTAATTTGATATTTTGTAACCATGAAATAAGTTATGACTTATAAATTTTGTGATTTATGACCAATAAATAATATGTGACTATTAAGTTGATAAATTTGTGACCACGAAATAATTTGTGATCTATAAAAATTTTGATTTGTGATCGAAAAATAAATTATGACCTATAAAATTTGTTGTTTGTGATTGTGACGTTTGTAATTGTGACTAACATATAATTGTGACATAAATTATATTTAATATATTTAATCAATAAATTATTTAATAAATAAAATTTAAATTCATATCTGATTTTTGAAAGTTCTCTTAGATTTGAAATAGATCATACTTAATGTCTTATTAATGGAATTGTTCCAAATTTCAATTCAGTTGGGCCGACCAATATAAAATGGGCCACCAATAAATCCAATAAAAACCCATGAATCAAATAGCAACAACAGAATGAAGAATTCCAGTGAAGTGGACCCGAAGAAACGAACCTCCTCCGATCAATCACTCAAAACACATACATATAACACACATGACACAACACGGGTAGTTTGATTGAGAATTATGGAAGGTGCAGAAGAAGTTGCAGTATGTGCAGAGATTGATACAAGTGCACCATTCCGATCAGTTAAAGAGGCCGTCGTCTTGTTCGGTGACCGGGTTTTAGCCGGTGAGCTCTATGCCAACAAGCTCAAACAGGTCTCTCTCTCTCTCTCTCTCAAATATGGTATGGTTCCTTAATTTGCACTTTCAAATGCAGCATTTTTCATGCAAAATCCATTCAAATTGTGTGTTCCTTGTTATGTTATTTCTTTTTCTGAATGCTTGTGCCACACTGCCACTCATTTAACAATTATTATGTATATATGTACATTAAAATGGTGAAAAAGTTAAATTTCAACATAGTTCGACATTATTGAGTCCTTTCGTGAAAGTTCATTTAATGAAAATTGTGCATAGGATGAGGCCTTTCGTGAAAGTTCATTTAATGAAGTATTTTATTTATGAGAATCTTCATGAAAACAAAATCTTTATTGAAAAAAAAAAGTTTGCTTAAAAAGAGAATATTGTTGGTTGGAGTTTAAAACTAGCCAACAGCAGTACGTAGGGTGGTCCTTTATGCCTTTCGTTTTCGTTTATAAGTTTTTTCGCGTAAAATATATAAAACATGCACGTCTATGTGTAATAAAGAGTGTTGAATATGTTAGATTGATCCTCATACTGGCAAGATCGAAAGGTTTAGTGTCCTCTTAAGAAGGAATATCCAACTTTTGGGGTCAGTTTCGATCATAAGGAGAGAAGACGAGACTATTGAGAGTCTCATTGACCGTTCTTTATCATCTTAAGTTTTTAAATTAAGAGGTTCAAAATCATATCAAAGATTGCAAATGTCTTGAGTTCAACTTTCACCGTCAGAAAATGTGCATGTTTTAGGTTTTGATGGAAAAAACAAACTCCATTACATATATGCAATATATTAATGGCCATATGTACCAGATTTGTAAGAATCAATCACTTTGCTTCCTAAGTAGAATCAATTACTTTGCTTCCCAAGTAGAGATGCTAGTCCCAAACTTGACTTCAGCGCACTCCACAAATCTTATAAAATATTTTTGACACATAAGTTAGATATGATTAGACTCTTTTAAATCATGTCGAGTTCAACGTAAAAAATATCCCATCGATGTTTAAATGGAGAAAACCTGACATCTAGTCACCCTTTATTTGATTAAATGAATATCAAAAGTCGGGAATTTTAACATGTTACTCTTTCTTAGTCACGTTAAATATGTTGTGTATCAAACATGCTCCTAATAGTAGTAATTGTTTCTCTAAAACAACGTAGACTGCAAAGATGCAGATGCAGGATGAAGCCAGTGAATATGGCCGCATCCCTTCGAGGCTTGGAACTGTGACAGCTGAGTTAGAGGAGACAAAGCAAAGCCTTCAAAAGGCACAGGAGGAAAGCATGCAAATGGCAAGGTGCCTCTCTACTTTACAAGAAGAACTCGAAAGGACTAAAATGGAGCTTCAACAACTAATGCAACACGAAAAATGCTTGCTCGATTTAGAGATTAATGGAGAGCTCAAATTTGTCGAAGACTCTACAAAATTACGAGTAAAGGAAACATGTTCTGAAAAAATTGAGTTTCAGAAAAAGAAATATGTGAGATTTGCAAATCCTCCATCTGTTTCTCAAATTTTAGTACCGGAACCAAGTGATGATGCTGTGCTCAAAAGGCACCCTTCTCTAAAGAAGAAGAAGAACAAGAAGCAATTGATCCCACTTATTGGAAGGATTTTTTCAATAATTAAAAGGAATCCTGAATAAGAAACTCATTGAAGTTTGGAGCCTACTATCAAGTTAAACGGCTAAAAATTTTCAATTCAATTCCAAAGGCACGTGAATAGAGCCTCTTTTAATAAGGTAATGAGTATCATGAATTAAAGCTCATCCTTCTATATTTTCTTTTATTCAGTTCTTTGAAATTAAGTTGTGATACATTAACTTTTCCTTCTATTTAGAAATGAATTGATGTTTTTAATTTTTATCACCAAATTCGTCACTCATTTTTTTTCTTCTCAAAAATAAACGAGTGACGAATTTAATAATTGATTTTTCCCATTTTTGCTTGAAGTTACACATTTGTTCAGGGCAGATGCATGCATTTTGAGTTAGGTACACAATCAAACTTGAAAAAAAAAATTGTGAGTTTTACATTTGGAAATTTACATTAAAAAAAAAAAAATTATACCCCATGTAATTTTACATCTGAAAATTTACATGAAGTATGAATTTTTCGGGTATAAAATTTTGATGTCATAAGCAGAATATTTGATGGAAGGTCGGGGAATCCTTATGAATAACCCTAAGGATCCTTTCATACATTATGTTAGGTATCAAGGAAAATCAATTACGGCTTCAAAAGGGACGTCGTAAAATTTCATAATAAAATGATGTAAATTATATTGGGAAATTTGTATCTCAAAAATAATAATAATTGAAGTTTTTTAAAGAAAAGACGAGTTAGACACCTCATTTAAGATGCATGTTTGACGTATCTTTAACTATTTTGATATCTGTTTGGACCATTCAATATGCCTATTATGTAATTCTCAAAACGAGCTTTAGATGACATATGCAATTTGTGGATTCGGCTAGCGTATGATCGTATGAGAATTTTTAAAATTAGCATGTTATTGAAATTTTTGGAATATTAGTTTGGAACAGTTTACTTTGACAAGTCGTAACATTTGCTATGGTTGGTCATTTCGCACGCTATTAACGACATAGAAAATTAGGTCGTGAATACTTCGAAATGGTATTAAGAATGCAATATTTCGACTTCATTTGGTATTCCATAATAATTTCAAAAATTGAGACAAAATCATATAAAATTTAAAAATAAAAACATTGGCCACAATGTCGGGGGTCACGTGACCCATGCCACCCTTGTGTCGACCCCTGCAAGTGTTTAAGAACATTTAAGAGCGATCGTCCAAGGATGGAGTTACATGTGAAAGTAGAATGAAATATATATATATAAATGAAATAAATACGATGAAATTCCCATTTGATCTTTGGACCCAAGTCAAGTATTCAAAGAGAGTTGTGGTAGGTTAACACCGAGCACAAAGCTTAGTCGACAAATGACTCAAATCATATACCATGATCCCAACTCTCAAGATGAAAAAAGATTCATGTAGGCGCTAAGAACAAGGTTTCACTCCACCAAAAATGATCATTTGCAACACATAAAATACAACATTTGGTGGTTAAATGTTGCTAAAAGGGTCTATCGCAACATTCTAATACATGAATGTTACTATTGCTTAACAAAATTGAGGTTTGACAACATTTTTTAAGTGAATGTTGCTATTTTTACATTTTTGCAACGTTTTTTTAGTGTTGCGAATTTTTTTATTTTTTGCAATGTTTTTTAAACATTGCGGAAGACGAAGTTTTTCGCAACGTTTATAAAATGTTGCGAAAAGCATCTTTCGCAACTTTTTTTAAAACGTTGCGAAAGACACTTTTTGCAATTTTTTTCTGATCGTTTCGCAACGTTTAAAACGTTCCAAAAAGTCCCACATCCCCTCTAAATCATCAAAAAATGTGAAGTCTGTGTAAATTCTCTCCAGGTCGATTTTTGCCCATTTTCAGCCACAACTATGAGCTCATTTCCCGGCCACCCAAACCGTCGGACATTGGTGTCGGTGGGAAGCCTCCAATCTCTTCTTCAATTCACACCAAAAATCACCTTCTAATTCCAAGTAATCTGGTCGGAATCGAAACACAAAGTGCCCAACCTGAAAATCTGAAAATTACAGGAACTGCCAACTCCAGCCAGCAACTTCATCGGATCTNGTTGCCATTACTTAACAAAATTGAGGTTTGGCAACATTTTTTAAGTGAATGTTGCTAATATTACCTTTTTGCAACGTTTTTTCAGTGTTGCGAAATTTTTTATTTTTTGCAATGTTTTTAAAACGTTGCGGAAGACGAAGCTTTTCGCAACGTTTTTTAAAACGTTGCGAAAGACACTTTTCGCAATTTTTTTTTTATTTTTTCTGATAGTTTCGCAACGTTTAAAACATTGCAAAAAGTCCCACATCCCCTCTAAATCATCAAATAAGGTGAAGCCTGTGTAAATTCTCTCCAGGTCGATTTTTGCCCATTTTCAGCCACAACTATGAGCTCATTTTCCGGCCACCCAAATGGCCGGACATTGGTGCCGGTGGGAAACCTCCAATCTCTTCTTCAATTCACACCAAAAGTCACCTTCTAATTCCAAGTAATCTGGCCAGAATCGAAACACAAAGTGTCCAACCTGAAAATCTGAAAATTACAGGAACTGCCAACTCCAGCCAGCAACTTCATCGGATCTCACCACTAGAACATTGCCCAGACCCAAACGACCTCAACCATGGTTCCAATTTACCCCAAACAACATCTACACAATCTGAATTAATCAAAGAAAATGCTGCAAAATGGTCTACCGCAACGTTGAAACAACGCTGCAAAAAGGTTTACTGCAACGTTTAAAAAACGCTGCAAAAGGATATACCGCAACGTTGAAAAAACGTTGCAAAAGGGTCTACCGCAACGTTGAAAAAACGCTGCAAAAGACTTTTTCGCAACGGTGAATAAACGTTGCAAAAAGTCTTCCCTCAACGGCAACAACGACCGCTGCAACACTAAGAAAAATGCTGCAAAAAGTCTTTTGAAGCGTTTTTTGGCCTTTGCAAAAGCTCTTTTTTAGTGTAGTGATTTATTTATTTATTTTTGTTAAATATACATGCAAGGCCAAGATAATTATTTAACACAAAAACTTATTTTCGTATTGTGTGCTTTATCAACCCAGAAACACAGAAAGATAAGCTGTAAATTATCAATTTGTTCATCTCCCAGCAATGAACGTGCATAATCATCGCATTGCCCAAATTGATATAGACTTACAAAAATCACAGCATCACATCAGATTTTCTTTCACTACGTAGGACACAATCCTGCGATGACTTGTTGATAAACTCAATACAATCAGCAATGGCCTCATTATAATGCAAATTCGACGAGTAATAACAGCTGCATGAAGTCTTTGGAGGGTCGGACCTGTCGCATGACCTCGGCATCGCCGTCACCGGAACACCGCTTGACTCTCGAGAACTCCGGATGGAAAAAATGATCCGCATTAAGATCTTGCGAAAACGATCAAAGGTTTTCATGGCAGAAAAACCCTACAAAGAAGTCTGAATTATATGTTCTTCACATACAGATGAGGTCTAAACAATTCTCTCTATCAAATACGGAAAATTCTTGCCTAATGTTCTCCGGGAAGTGTAATGCCATCATTTGTGTCGCATGGAGGAATAAAAAGAAAGGAATTTTTCGAAAATCTTGCATTTAGTATTCAATGTGACAGAGGACTCAATGATCATATTCAGAAGAAAAAGATGGTGTCTCAGCCATGTGACCTAATCATTTACATGGGTTCCCTTTGTCCAAATCAACTACATTTGTTTATTGTTTTTAAGGTTCTCTCGTTGTCTTCAAGTATAAGAAATGTCTCAAAAACCTATAACATTAGTCAAAAACAAAACCCCCGATAGTACCACCCCACCCTCCACGGCGGAAAGATGTTCAAGAACCAAAAAAATGTAGAAGAGAAGAAAAAACTAGAAAATGATTCCTCATTTTGCAATGGACTGCTTGGATCGAAGAAAAGACTTCACATAATCGACTCTAAATTTTATTAAAAATAAAGCTTACTTGTCATTTTAAGATAGTCTTTTGATTGTAAAACAACTTAGTCTTCGACTTTTCTTCTCAGATTGTTCGAGAGAAGACTTCGCTAGCATTTTCTACATCGTTTGGGTAGAAATGAGAGGTGGTGAAGATTGTCGATTTTGAAGTATTGAATTAAGCGCATGAATTTCACCATATGGTAATATAATTGAGATGTGTAATATATAAGGTGAAGATGGTCAATTTTGAAGTATTCAGTTAACCCCATGACCGTAGTATCAACTATCAAATTGCCTAGTGACTCGAGATCATGATTACCATGACCCCAAGCACAATTGAGACGGGCAACTTATGAGGTTAGGCAAACCTCACATTTACGAGCGGCCGGTTTACAATAATAGCTTAGGCGCAGGAACTTTGTCATACTTGTGTTTACTCTTTTCTTTTACAAAGATTGTTTTAGAAGTCAAGATGTGAAGAGACAAGGACCATATGAATGTTCTTAGGATAGTTAATACTTTCATAGTTTGTAAAAATTAAGGACTTCTAAAAAAACAAAAAATATGTTCAATGATGAGAGCCCAGCTTTGTCCAGTGAATCAATCCTCAAGAAACGATATTTTTGGGACTTAATGATATATATTCATTGCTTGATTGTTAATAACTATATGTTTAATGAAAAGGGTTTCGGGCACTATGATCACTGCACAACTTGTTATGAAATCCATGTTGGTTAGTAGGAGGAGAGGAACTAGAATCGGGGTTAGTTTTAACTCGAGATTGGGACATGATATACGGTCAAACTGGTTAAACCATATCGACCAGTCGAGTTCTTGTCTACAAATGATCCAAGAATCGAGATCGAGATCGAGATCGATCCCTCGTATAAGTAGTCAAAAAGAACGTTAATCCACGGAAAGGGCTCGTGTCTTCAACTTAGAACAAAACAATCCTTCCGAAACCCAAACCCGAACCCATCGAAGTTTGCAGCCATCTCCATGTTTTTTTATGGTTATCTTTTGTGCTTCAGCATACCCCGAAATTACAACTTCTTTCTCAAATAAATTGTTCTGTACCGTCCACTT